TTTTTAATATTATTTTTTTGCTTTTTCTAAAGTTCTTGTGGTCAGTTTCCTTCTTTTGTTAGGCAAGGGTGTGGAACTTGGCTGAATGCATTGCATGAAGAGAGAGATAAGAGAGAGTTGTATTATATGCAATAAAAAGAGAGGGAAAAATATAGAAGTTCAAACTTGAGGCTGATAAGGCATGCATTGATATCTGATCATGGGCATGAAGAAGCAGCCAAAAAAGAACATGAAACCTAGTTGACGTGTATGATAATTTCAAGTAACTACCATTGAAACTATTAATATCAGTTTTAATATATTTTATTTAAATTAGATATATAGCTTAGATTATATTATTTAATTATTTTCTATTTGTATTATGATTAGGAGTTATAGTAGTATAAATAGTTATTAGGCTTGTATCAAAATTGAACGATAATTCAATGAATCTCTATTTGTTATTTTCTTAATTACTTTTCTCTCATTCCTCTAAAATTGACACATCAAGACTCCAAAAAGTTAACAGTTACCTTATCATCCAAGAGTTAGCTTGCCTAACAAATTAAATAAAGAGGCTTTCAATATTGGCAACTTTCCAGTGAAAATCAAAACAAGATTAAAAAAAAAAAAAGAAGCAATTATCTTCCCAACCAAAACTAACAAAAAAAAAAAACTGATCAAATTGGTGAAGTTGGTTCTTAATTAGGTTGATCTAAGCAATTTAAGTGTAATAGAGCTTGAACTCAACTTCCAAACACAGAGCAAGCAAGGTTTGATTATTAAACACCATTATATTAATTAGTTTCTAGTAGATTTATTGTATTTTGCTTAAGTAGGGACGGGGATTAAAACTTATAACCTATTGTTCAAAACAGTGCCAATTACCGTGATAAACTTTGACTGTTTTTTTTCCTTCTTTGTTTGTACAAATAAGTGTACATGTGGGAAAGTTTTGTCATACTTCTCAAAGGAGAAGAGGATTCGTACAACTTTTGCCTTCATGCACCTTAAATCACTTCTAGACCATAAATTTAAGAAAGAGAAAAAAAATTCCTTTATGAGCCTAATTAGCTCGAAAAAAATTTAACCCTAAATTTTAATTCCATAAATTTAATAAAAATATTTTTCTATTATCGTTGAAATGTGGTTTAATAATAAATTAACGTAGATAACTGAACTCATTTGCTCCAAATCTTTTTGGTTTCCTTTATTTTTTGGACCAACGAACCATAACGGTTTGATTTTCCTTATCATTTTTCTTCTCCTATTTCACTTTTATGGTATTTTATATTAATTTGTATCCTAAATATGGGGCCAGCTATGGTTTCAACTTTTAGATTCCATTAAGAAATGTTGGTTTGAAACTAGTTGTTTTTGTTTTTAAAACGTGTGTGAGAGAAGAAATTAGTCATTTTGAATGGATGATGATTCAAATTAAGGTGATCATCGTAAATATCTAGAAGGGCGTTTGTTTTTTTTTAACCTAGATGCCCGAAATTTTAGAGGTTCGAAATTTTAGATATTCGATATTTTGAGATAGCGTTTTATGAAAGTTTATAAGGATACGACAATATTTGGATAACCACGTTTGTTTTACATCCTGGAATACCGTTATATTTATAGAATGTTTCATAAATGGCCTTACGAATATTTATATAATTTATAGCATTCATTTAATATAATAGATTTATTTGAATCAATTCAATATTTTGTGCCTTTTATACGTTATTTTCTACCACAAATTAATTCATATAATTTAATATGAATTTCATTTTCAATCTAATATTTTTCCAAAAAGATAATCATATAATTGATGTTATCTTTGATGAAATTTATTTATCTTAACATCACATTATATTTTTTTAATAGGAAAAATATCAAAGCTATTTCGATCGGTTGTAAAAAAAAAAAAGCTTAATTTAAAATTATATATTTATGATAATAAATATTATTAATAATATAATTCCTTCCAAATACTAAAAATAAATGGAGATATTATATAATTTTATTGCAGTTTATTTTATATGTAAATGTAATTTACAAATATATTTAATTTCATAGAGTTGTTTATGAGATGATCACTACATTAATTTAATTAAATTATAAATTTAAAAATAAAAATAAAGAATATTATTAAATAAAATAAAGAAATTTGATGAAAGAAAAATTTATGAAAGGCAAAAATGTAAATAGTAGATGCCCTCAGCACGGGAGTCTTGGAAACCCACCCTTCAAAAGGACATCTAAAATTCGTTAGATCTATTCCGTATTCCAAGATCGATATTCGAATATCTTACGTTCCCGCAAAATAAACATGGAAATCATAGATTTTCATGAAACAAACATGTCGAAGTGTATGTCAATATTACATCTTTTAATATACAATAATAATAATGATATCATATTAGATGATGATGATGGATTAAAGTATTAAATTATATAAAATATGATACTGTCCACGAAACAATCCTCCAACTTTCAGAATATTATATACTCTCAGTCTGTGTTTTGTGTTGTAAGTTACGTCGTCAATGGTTTGGTCATAGATCAATATATCAAGCTTACCCAAAGGAAGACGCCATAGTAGAAGAAGAAACACGTCATTTCTTGCCAACATTAATATTTTAACCACTTTTTAGGGGCCGTTTGATAACGATTTTTATCTTTTATTTTTAGTTTTTATATTTTTGGGTTTTCTATTTTTAAGAAAATTAAAACCGATAACTAGTTTTTTATTTTTTATTTTTAAAAAATAGAAAACCAAATATGTTTGGTAATCATTTTGGTTTTCAATGTTAGGGGGAAAAAATATATGTAAAGTAGAGATGACGTGAGGTGAGGTGTGGTGTGAGTTGGGATGCCCTCTGCATTCTCTTCCTCACATAAATTTTTAGTCCTTGTCTCCACTCATTTTCCGATCCTGAGGATCAAGGTCTAGGTTCATGGATCCTGGTCAACAAGGATTTTCGCAAGGAAAATTATCGATTTAGTAATTAATTTTAGTTATTTATAGAATTTAAAATAAAAAGATTAATCAATATATATATAAATTATATCTATTTTAGTAAAAGATTATTACTTTACTAGTATAAATAATTAATTTTAAAAAATATTTAATATTTTGTTCATAATTCTACTTAATAAAATATATATTAATTATTTCAAAATAGAGTTGGGGTCGGGGCAAGACATGGAGAGAAATGCATTCCCCTTGTTGGAGCAGTAACTCAATCCTCTAGAGATTCTTGTCATCCCTAGGTAGAGATACGAAAATAACAGCTCACAAAGATAAAATGAACTTTTTAAAGAGAGATTTTAGAATAAAAAGAAAAATATTTTGTGAAAAGAAATTTTGACGAGAGAAAAGTTAAAATAAAAATTAGAAGACGAGAGTAAAGTTGAGAGAAAAACCCGAAAATTAGAAAGAAAAATAAAAATTATAGTGAGAAAAAATTTAGTTTGAAAAACATTCTAGTGGGAGAAAAAAATAAATTAAAAAGAAAGAAAAGTTATAGTGAAAGAAAATTGAAAAATTTTGAGGTATATTTTCTAGAGAAAAAATAAATTAGAAAGCAAAAAAATATAAAAGAGGAGATTAGAGAGGTAGAAAATTTTGAAATAATATTAAATTTTTAGAGAGAAAAAGATGAGAATGATGTGTTAGAAAAAAAAAAAGGGATGAAAATATATACAGATGAAAATTTTGGAGGGAGAGGTGATAGTAAATATTTTAGATGAAAAATTTAGAAAGAGAAAGATAATTTCTTAGAGAGAGAAATTCCGGTAAAAAACTATTTAGAGTAAAAAAGAAATTTGCTTGAGTAAAATTTGTTGGAAAAAAAAGTTGAACTTGGAAAAAAAGAGATTTTGAAATTTAAATTTACATAGAATTTTAAAAACAACTTTTTAAAATAGAAAACATAAAATTGAATTAAAACAAACTTTTTTTTTTTTCAAAAACCAAAAACCAAAAATTAACCAAATGCAAAAAATATGAAAGAACAAAAGATGGAAATACAAGAAGATGGTAATATATGAAAGCAGAGTGTTTGCATAGCATCCATTAAAATTCACAAGAAATTGTCACAGAAGAAACAAATTTTCTTAGTGTTGTTTTATTTGGTCTACTAAACATATTTGAAATAACTTCAACCTTATCATCTTAATTAGTACTTTAAATTTGAACATAATTCGAATAAGACATAATTTTATAGCAAAACCAAAAAATTATGTTTGAATCCCGACTCGTACTAAAAAAAAAAATTGTAATTCTTTTTAATTAAAAAAAAAAACGATTGTAATTCCCAATGGCCAAATAGCTATTTATCCATTAGTTAGGCAGGGAAACAGTTCTACTATGTATCTATTTGGGCTGATGAAAAGATTCTCAAGGCCCAAGCCTAAAGGATGGGCGTTGTGTGGGCTTTGGAAAGGATGAACGCTTCAAAGCTTCAAAGGGTGGGCCTTGATTTTCTTTATAAAAAAATGTTTTCTCAGGATTAAATTAAAAGAATAATATTCAATTTGTGGCTTATGAAAATAAACTTAATTTAATCCAAATGTACTTAATCCGTGGATGTGTCAGAAAATCACTCTACATATATATGTGGGAAAAAAAAGTTCTGGATAAATTTAAAATTGTTTTCTTCTATGACAATTTCTTATCCAACCACGTATTTTCAGATATTATATATACACATAAATGTAACATTTTAATCACCTAATTGAATCAATCGTAATGACAATTTTCATTTTTTTATAAATCTATAAAAATGATATATTTTCCTTTTTTAACCATTAAGAAGAGAAAAGGGTATATTCCCGTATATCAATATTATGTATCAATTTGGTGTGATATTTCCTTAATTTTGTGGGTTTTTGTATTATTTTTATACTCTATACAAGAAATTAAAAAAAAAAAACTTGTAAACAAAAAACGTGCAAGACATGTGACAATAGCGCACAAGCGAAATAACTGGCCCAAAAGATTTGTTATTGAAAAAAAAAAGAAGGAAAAAAGGAAAAAAAAAAAAAGTTCCCAATTCAGTTACCTCCCTCTTATCTTCCACACAGGGGAGCAGTTCAATTTTCAGAGAAGCTGAAATGGCTGCTAATTAAGCTTAAGGAGCCGCTCCATTTTGCAGGCGGGCCTCCTCCATCACCATCCTTCAGCTCAAGTTACTTTTTTGAAACTGCCCCAAATGAGATCGGCGACATTTCCAAGGACCCATTGCCCCAACTTCTTGCTTCCCATTCATGGCTTCAGCTCTTCGACTACGAAGAACTCGATCCCTTTTGCCGCGCCCTTTAAATTTAAACCCACTTTCTTGAAATTTCAAGCGAAACCGGCCCGGTTGGTTGTATTTTGTTATCGGGATTCCGAGAAATCTGCCCGGTATGAAGAATCCGGTGATCGTGACTCGGAAGCTGTGGGGGTCGAACATTCGAATGGGCCTTTCATGGAGGAGAATACAGAGCAAAACCAATGGAGCCTGGAAGTGGGAAGCCCTAGTGTTGGATTTCGGCCTCTGGCCAAATTGAGCTTCAGCGATAAGGCTTTTCTTCTCTTGACATTCATCGCGTTAACGGTAACTTTGAATTAGATCAATTTCTCTCTATATGTTGTGTGTGTGTGAATTTCTCCGAATTTTGGTAGTTGTCAGACTATGCTCTTCAGTCTTCCCTGAAGACTAAGGGTTTTATAACCTTGAGATTTGAGAATTATTGGTGGACATGCGGCCTTTTTGTTTTTGTTTTTTTTCCCCTCTTTCCTAGTTGATTGTTAGTAGTAGTTCTTAACAAATAGATTTTTTCTTGGTCTAACCGGTCCTCCAAAGTTTCTCCTAACAACGTTGGACTAATACTGATGCTAATTAACAGATCAATTGCTGATTATAGAGATGTTATTTTTTTAGTATCATACAATCATGTGTTAAATAAACTATATAACAAACTAATGAAAGCATGTTGCCTTAGCTGATCGTTTCTAGATGGGTTTACTCTTACAAGTTACTTATTGTTCGAGACGGAGAGGAATAGGATAATCCTTAGGTGCATGGGTGTATTTCCATTGGTTCCATAGATGGAGATATAGCAGATATTTGTGATTATATGATTGGTATCTTTTATTTCAAAATCTAGAGTTGAGCTCTGGATTGAAAAATTACTTGAAGCTTTTAGTTGCCATGACTCCGTAAGGAGTTAATTGTTTGATATTGGGGCTAACGTGAGCATAACTTAGTGGTAATTGGCGCATTCTCTTTCTCGTGAGGTCGGAGGTTCAAACCTTCGTACCTCCAATTTGTTGTATTAAAAAATATATATCTATATATATACTTATTTGATACGGTGACATATCGAATTACCGGCTTTCATTTATTTGGTCATTGAGCATATGTATAAACATTGATTAGTGCTAATTGGTGCAGACTTCGGTGGCATTTACAAGCCTTGTCATTGCGGCTGTGCCAACGCTTTATGTAAGTTCATTGATGACCATTTGAACTTTTAAGTTAAAATTAGCTTTCAGATACACTTTTGTGCCTTTTTTTTCTAATTTTATCCATATATTTTCTGAGTTCTCTTTATACAAATCCATGTATTAAACAAGAAAGTAGTCTAACAAGACAATTTGGGCCTAACATACTACTAACAATGTGATGAAGTATGAATCTGAGAGACATGGTTTTTGAAAAATGTAATGTAGGCAATGCGCAGAGCTGCTATTTCACTTTCAAAGCTAGCTGACACAGCTCGTGAAGAACTTCCTGGTACCATGGCTGCCATTAGACTTTCAGGCATGGAAATCAGCGATCTCACTCTTGAACTAAGTGATCTAAGGTGAGAACCGATCCTTATCTAGGTCGTCTCTCCCTATTTGAAATTGGTTTTGAGATGGGGCATTGTTTCTGTGACAAGCTGGATATCTTGTAGTTCTTTTGAATATTTGGTTCCAGAGAAATAGGGGTATTTTCTGGGTATTGAGAATGCTTGGGAGTAAGTCTGGGATGTGGCTCACTTTGATAGTCCTCTTTGCATCTTCATCATGAAAGATAGTCCTCTTTGCATTCATGTTCTGTAATTACCCTTTGCTTTTTAATCATAATGGTCAGAGTCCTATATCTTTCCCGTGGTTCCACTTGTGTTCTTGTATGGCCCTCTTTTGATTGTACTCTCATTCTTCTCAATAAAAGTGGTTTTTAAGCGGTTCAAGAGATCTATTTCTTGAGAACCAATCAGGAAACCAAGTGTAATGTTAAATCTTGTTCAGGTGGTTGTTCTCTTTAGCCTAATATACGATCATATCTGTTGTCACTACAAATAATATTCTTCATGGAGGCCACTGTAGAATGCGAAAACAGATCAAATATGAATAGGGGTTTCATTGATAGCAATTTTTCTCTCACTTATATGGCTTTGAATCTTAGTCCCCAAGGGGCAGCCTTGTTGGCTAAAGCTTACGATCTCAGAATAATACCTATCCTGTAGTTGCATGTTTGAACCTTCGAGTAAACTTAATAAGATAAAAATCCTTGATGTCTCCGGGGTGTCCTGGATTAGTGGGGTGGGGCCCTTGATATAGATATGTATATAATATAGGCTTTGAATTTTATCGTATGTTTCTTGTGCCATTGTCTCCCCTTTTTGGGCAAGCACAATCATTCTGACTTTTCTAAGTAATCCATCTCCTTTCTGTTTTGAACGCAGTCAAGAAATAGCTGATGGGGTAAACAAATCTGCCCAGGCTGTCCAAGCAGCAGAAGCTGGAATTCGACAGATCGGTGCAATTGCGCACCAACAAACTATGTGTATGTTTGACTACAAGCAATCTAATATTACTCATACTACATATTCTTATGACTAATCACCAGAGCTTAACAGCTTGTATTATGTTGTCCGCATGATTCAGCAATGATTGAAGAGAGAGCAAGCCTGCCCATTATTTCGTTGCAACCTGTTGTTGCTGGAGCTGCAAAGAAGACTTCTCGTGCCGTTGGCCAAGCCACCCGAACCATCTTGAAAATGATCACAAGAGGAGAAAGTACGGAGAATGAGGATGATAATAGTATAGATAGACTGGAAGTTTAAGCTTACCGATTCCTGCTTGAAATCAAAACAATTGTGTAAATATCACACAAGCATAGACCTCGACACGAAATTTACAATCCCGTATTTGTCGATAGGAAGGCTTGAAACACATGTTCAGACATCCAAAGTTGGAAAGCTTTCCACTACCTTTAAACAAAGGCACATTAGTGAAGCTTCGTTTATTATTCTTTTTCCAACTTGATTTCAAGTCTGTAAAGGCGATGTAATTTTTTCTTATCTGTCAAGACTAGTGGCTAAATGTTAATCTACCATTTTATCAACTCGACATTGAGTAATTTATACCGCTCTTACATATCAGAAATGTTCATTTATGGATTCTCTCCTTGAGAGAAGGATCTTTGAAACCATTGAGATCGGCTAAGGAAAAAGGACAATGAGTCTAATCCAACTGGTTCAATTGTTCATTTGATTCATCCTCAGTAACACTTCATGAGTTCCCTGAAACGGGGGCGTGTAAAGGTTTTCCCAGGCGAATAGAGATTGGTCAGGTTGCACTATCTGGAAAAGTTGTATTTTAAGGCGAAATCATATTCATCCTAAAATACTGATTGAGCTCACCGAAACCAAACTCTCTGTTTGATAACTGAACTGTCTGGAAAAGCCGTCCATAAAATGTAGTGTTCAAGTTCAATGTTGAAGAAATTTGCAGAAAGAGCCTGTTGGAAAGGCTTTTGGCTCTCAAGCAGGAGGCTGAAAATGGGGTCACAAAGAATATGATACTGCCTTGTAATGACTAGGCACCAAGAACTGTGGGGGTCTGTCCATCCCCATTTCTTCTACTTCTTTTCTTCTTTTTTAAATAATCCCCCACCCCACTTCTTTATTACTCTCTCTCTCCCATAAAAAATAAAAAGATGAATTTCAAAATGAAACCAGTGGGTATGGAAGTCAACAAGTGTTTTAAATACACAAGATAAACTTTAGATTTTCTTTTCTTTCCCCTAAAACCCATGCATGTAGATGTAAGTACATATGCATGTGCATGTGCATGTGCATGTTCATGTTCCTTAAGTTTCCACACTCATCCTCTTACATTTTTAAAAATTTCTTCAAAAAGAAAAAGGAAAAAGAAAAGAAAAAGATCTAGTGGATCCTCGGCTTATTATTTTAATCTTCTGACTTTGTCAAAGTAACTTTATGAATATTAATTTATTGGTATCACTCTTGTATAAGTGTTGGTCATCAAGCTAATAAACATATCCCACATCCTCTGCTTCTGCTTCAAGAATCCTACCTCTCAGTCTCCCACATTCGCTTTATGGAACCAGCTCAGAAACACCTCCATAGTTTTGAATCCCATGCTCTTCCACCCATCAAGAACCAACAGTTTCCAACTCATCAGTATCCCTTTTCTACTGTTTCTGATTCTGCTTCTCCTATTTTAGCTGTTGCAGTTCTAAGTGTCATGGGCACAGCTTTCTTACTTCTGGGCTATTACATCTTTATTAATAAATGCTGCTCTAACTGGCACCAGTTTAGTCTGCTGAGGAGATTTTCTAGTTTCCATACCCAACAGCATGAAGATCCTTTCATAGCTCTATCTCCAACAATGTGGAATCGCGGGCTCGAAGAGTCGATGATTCGCGAAATCCCAGCTTTTCAATTCGAAAGAGATGGTGGAGGTAGAGGTATCTATGGCTGTGTGGTTTGTCTGAGCGAGTTTCAAGACGATGAAATGCTAAGAGTCCTACCAAAATGCAGCCACACATTTCACTTGGACTGCATTGATATCTGGCTCCAAAGCAACTCCAATTGCCCTCTTTGCAGAACAAGCATTTCAGGCACAACAAAGCCTCCCATTGATCATATTGTGGCTCCAAGCTCTTCCCCTCAAAACTCACAGCTTCTCTCCAACAGCCTAATGGGCAGTGATGAAGATTTTGTAGTCATTGAATTGGGGGGTGAAGATGAAGTAGTTTCCTCAGCAGGGCAACAAGAGAGGACTGTTTCAAGAGAAGTACTAGTTCAGCAGCAGCCCAGAAATCATTCGCCGAAAAAATTCGAGAACAAAGTCGGCAAATCGAAGACTCGGAAGTGTCACCATGTCTCAATAATGGGAGATGAGGGCATCAATGTTAGAGAGAAAGATGATCAGTTCTTCATCCAGCCCATTAGAAGATCATTTTCCATGGATTCTGCAGCCGATCAGCAGCTTTACTTAACCGTTCAAATGATAATTCATCAAGGTAGCCAAATTACCGAGTCTAGTAGTACTACTGCAGAAAGTGATAGCAGAAACCGAAGATCTTTCTTACCATTTCGATCGGGACGAGGATTCAAAAATGCAATTCTTCCACTTGAGTCTGATTTGTGAATATCCCATGATTGATTGATTTCATTCAGATTTAGTTTCTGTTTGCTTTTGATTTCAGAAGGCGGTGAAAAATTTAAACAGGTGAATGAGGTATTACACACAAAGACAGATGGTGCTTATTTGTAACTTTTTTTAATGAAATTTTACTCAGTATTGGAAAAGAGATGAAAAAATGGAACTTGCTGAAACTTGGCATGGTATTTGAAATCATTGCTTAAACCACTAAACATTGCCTTGCCTCTCTTTCTTTTCCAAGTCCTCATCAATGAGAAAGAATGATTGCTTGTCTCCTTTCTTTTGGGTTCTTGGTTATGAATGGAACACAGAGAAGAGTGGACCCAAATTCTGAGTCGAAACCAGTTGAAGGCTCCTTCACACTTATCTTCATCTTCTTTACTCAAGTCACAAAGGCAAATCATGTATTGCAGAACTTATGATTTCCTACATGCTCAATTATTCCATAGCATAAATTATTCCATAGCATAAATTATTCCATAGCATATCATTCATTTTAAGCAAATCAACTAATAAATTCTGCAAAACAACCGCGCAGTTAGATGTTCACACTTCACTAATAGATGTCTGCTGCAAACATGAACTATTGACAGTTGATATTTGTAACCCCTCTTAGTAAGATTGTATGTGTCATGATTTTCATGATTGGAATGAACATAAACAGCATAAAGAATCAAATTTCAAAAAGAACGTAAAAAGGCCTATATCGCTTTGAGTTGAAGGGAAGGAAGTGAAAATGCACAATCAACTAATCAAGTAGAGCCCATCATTTTATTAGAGAACTAAGTTTTTTGTTATAAAATGAGACACTTCCAACTACTATTCCTAGCAAAAACAATGAAAAGAAAATACCCCTTTCACCTTCAAACAGAAGCCATGGGCGTCATGGAAGAATGAATTGAGTGTCATTAATATCTTGAATGTGCCATTACTTACACCTTCCCATGGTTCCAGGAGGCTTCAAACCAAACAGAAGCCTACTTAGAATCTGTTCGATGAATTTATGTACAAGAAAAGAATTTAAGGATCTTGGCTATAGAGTTGACAGAAACATAAAAGAACCCAGAAAATCAGCATGCCATCCCATGTTATAAAGCAAAGCCACCACATAAATTATTAGCAATTACTCAAAAGTCTGTGGGTTCAGGTCTTGGAGTTTCTGGAGTTCCACTGTACACATCTCCAAAATGAAGATCCAATTCTCCAGTCTCTATGTCTTCCAGGTCGGTGACTCGGGACAACTTTCCGAATTCACTCCACTCCATGTGTTGTTGCTCCTCTGAGCTTCTTTCTGAGACATTATCATAGTGATTCTTCATACTAGTGTACCTGTTGAAATCAGGTGGCTCCATGAAACTTGTTTGGGATTGTGCACGAGATTCGACATTTCTAGCCCACCACTGGCCATTAATGGTAGGATTTACACTGTTGAAACCTTGATGCTGAAATATGCTTTCGCGAAGGATGGGAGCCGATGTGGATGCCCCAAGATGAGTCTGTGATCGATCCTCATGATGGTCTTCTTTCCAGTAGTCTTCATATCTTCCTTCTCCTCGAGTGAAGCTGGGTGGCATCCAATATTCTCTGGAGTTCTGCTCTATATGTTCAGATGGTTCTTCAGGGATCTTTCCTGAGTCATTGGCTACATTTTGTGGTGCATTTGTATAATAATGATCAAGTAGGTAAGGGAAGTTTCTTTGATGTTCATCTAGCCATAGAAAATCCATCCAATTAGCAGTTCCCGAATTCGGGCGGGGTAGATCCCTCGGAAATATCCCACTCCTGTCTCGATGACCGACCAAATTGCGACTTCCTTGAAACATTTCATGTGGCTGATATACATGTCCCCGTTGCTGCAACATTTTTTTCCTAAAAGTTCGTAGATTTGACAGGAACTGCTTTCCCTGAGCATTTGGTTCCCATGCAGGATAGTTACTACAGAAACTGCAGAAAGAACGCAACTTAATGTGTGAGGATTCAGAGGCAGCAAAGAAAATTTAAAGAAAATAGTTTGAATGTCACATTTTCAAGATTCACACAAAACACTGTACTAATCAAGTTCACGAAATGCTAATCTTCAGAGAAAGTACATTCTATTCCTGTTGGTCACTCAAATTAAAGCAGGTTGAACAGTTGAAACAAAGAAAGTGAAAGAGAGGTTCATATAAAAACGATAAATATCAATCCAGGTCTCTCTTTCTCTTTTATCATCTACATATTTTACACCAAAAAGTTAACGAAGCTGCTAAAAGTAAGAACGGGATGTCAGAAACACTTGCATAATGTAGAGGTTCATTGCCTGTACTGGACTGCCTTCTCTACAACGTCATGAAAATGCAGGGGATACTTTTGCAGGTATGCATTTAAAATCAGAAGAGTTAAATAAATATTTCCAAGGATGGAATTCAGCATAAAGAAACAATCACAATATGCACCAACCACATAAAGGTCAAGAAAAGCTGATGATCATACCTTAAGAATGATTTCTCCATTTTCCCCTGGGAGCTCCTCTCAGCGCCTGGTGAATTATGTGGCGACCCATAACTGCTATTTCCATGTTTTTGGAAGTCGAAGGCACTGAAACTGCAGAAGACAATGAAGCAGCCAAAAACGTTTTGAACTGAAATCAAGAATAATACATTAAGAGAAGCCACATCACATTTCTGATAGGCCCCCAATTAGTAATGTGTAGGAGGAGAAGTGTCAGGGGAAGGGACTAATGTAATGTATGGGGTCAGGCCCTATAATTTATTTAGAGGACGGGTATTTAAACAAGTATATAGGAAGTCCTTTTGAGAAAAGGGGGAGTTGTGCTTATGCTTACGTTTTGGTGGTATGGTTTAGAAATAAACAAGGAACTCTTTGAATTTTCCACAGGCTTTACTTCTCTAACTCTTTGAATCTCATTTGACTCTTTCATGCAGTAAGACTTAAATCATTAAATGTAAGGAAAGAGTGAAGATTATAATACTATTGAAGAAACATAATAACCTGCAAACATGACCAACACCTTCAATATGCACTGTGAAGTCTGCAATAAACTGCAAAATATCATCCACCCTCTGCAAATATAAAAATATCAGTGACTGAAAGACAGCGGCCACAGTAAAATGAGATGAAATGTGGTCTCTAAAAGCTGGCAACCTCTGGAACAACGAACACGAGCAAGAATGGGGTGAGAAAAATGGAGACCATCTCCTCAAGCAACATCATTCCTGTGTACTGCATCAGAAAAGGCTCATGAGAGAGAAATAACGGGAGAAGATTGCAGCCTCAATGACAATATTGAAAAACAAGAAAAGAAAAGGAGCTTTGTATTTCGAACAGAAGGAAGCAAAAAAAGAATTTACTTTTAATGACTTAGAGACAGGATAATACTCCAGAAGAAGCATTACCATAAAAGCAGCACAGTTTAGACTTTAATGCATCCTAATATTATCAAAAGCACAAAAATTTTCATCCAACTATTAGACTGAGAGATGAGAGTAATAGATAGAGATATAATAAGCCGATGATCAAAGGAGTTATTAAATTGCACATCTTCTAACTTACAGCATCCAAAAGGCAAACCCAGTTTTTATTGACATACCACTCAAAGTAAATCTACAAGATGATAAGCCACCACAAATGCATATGAAAGGAAATAGCTTAGGGGAAACGGTAGATTCTGAGTTAGTAAGGAGGGGCCCACTTTGGTATCTAAGTCATGTGATATAAGAGAGTTGTGCACAAGGGCATTTAGAGAATATGAGTAAGAAAGAGGGTAGGCTTTTGTGAACTGAGGTAGTTAGGTTTGGGAGAGAAGGGGGAGTTCTCTAACCTTTCGTGAATTGTACTCTCTTTGTTGATTAAATGTTGAGTTCTACCATAAAACCAAGATGGTGTGAGTGAAAAGTAGCCAGTTCAAAATCTCACACCAGCCACTCAGAGAAAGAGATGAATTGCTAGCAAATTTACCTGGAAAAGGGTTTCGAATTCTAGTCGGACAACCTCAGAATTTTCTTTGCCGCGCCATCTCTTTGGCATATAATGAGTATGCTGAACAACCATAGACATTGCCCCCTCAGGATCTAGAATTAAAATCTCATCTGTAACTGCTGCCCGACTAATAGCAGTAATAGTTCCAAAAACAGCAGCATACCAGAGGAGGTTGCGACCAAAAATCTGAATGGTAGAAGAAATATATATTTAGATTAAACGTATAAAGTTAATAATTTCATGGGCTGAGAGTAAATGAAATGTATATTACATGGCCCTCCAGTAAAGATTCCTCCAGAAAAGCAATGATGATCAGAATTGCAGCAAAGCCACCAAATACAAATGAGATAAACTTTGCAATTATCGAAATAATAGGAGTGGGAAATTGCTGTAGATACTCTGAAGCATGAAGCACACTGCTATTGATCCGGTGCTTGAACAAATGCTCGACCTGCCAAAGATATGGCAGAAATTACAATATTGCATGATATAAATATCTCTCCCCTCCCTCCCCTCCCTTTTTCTGTTATGTCATAATCATTATCTGTCACACGTTACAGCCTAAATCTTCCTTTGTTATGCCATAGTCATTATCTCTCACAAGTTTCAACCTAAATGTTTCCAACATGACTTTTCAAAAATGACTAGCAAATAGGATACTTGAGCACTTGAATGTTAAAAAAATAGATCTTAGTTAAAAAAATCTGAATAGTAATGGTACCTCATTAAACTCCCTAAAAATCCACTTTGATAAATTTGACCACCTTCGGGATGATGCTGTACTTGGGTGGTTATAGAACTGTTCAGCATGCCTCAAAAAGAGGTATACCAACATGAATATGACAAGAAATGGAGAAAGCAGGAGCATCACTACTCCAACTACCGTAAGCCTTTTCTTTAATGTTCTAGGATTGGATATGAACTCCCTTCTAACACAGTAATTACTGCAACAAGAATGTGCTTTAGTCAGTTCATATTCTACATATCAGGCAGAAAATCTTTAAAATGTTTAAGACTAAAAACCCCCATTTGGTAAAGAATAAGTAGGAAAGCAAGCTTACATTAATTCAAGCTTCAGATCTTAAAAATATTATATCCTAGGCCAATACATAAATTTTCCAGGGTGAAGGTGAGAGATATAAAATGGTTAATGATATAGATGGGATAACATTATATTTTTTGTCAAGAAAATCTTACATACACATGGCATACAAGAGACATTTTCTAAATAATAGAGAGAAATGTTTTCAGTAATGAACGTACCGATCGAACATGCTCTGTAGTATGCACCAATTTAAGGTCCATTCAAGACTTTTTGTCAATGTTAGTCGATAATGCTTGCCAGAAGAGTCAAATTTCACAGCCGGGCCAGCACCTGGAACCCACTTGGAGATTGGAAAAGCAAGAACTCCTTTGTTAAGCATTCCAATCAGGTAGTTCTCTTTCCGCATCAAGCGCATGATCACATCATGAGCAGAAAGATCCTTAGCCACACAAAGCTGACAAGTACTTTGAAGCTCAACAACTTTCTCAAGAATTGTTGCCCATGGCATAGTTTTGATTTCATTGTCAGATAT